CGACGAATTGCTGCGGCAACGTGTCCATGTTCGTCTTGTGGGAGCGAAGGAACAACCTCCACAGCCCTCTCGACTGCTCCCCTCACCGTCTTTTGCTTGTTGTCAAACCGAATCTCCGACGGGTGTTGTGATACACCGTCGTAGGGGACGACTACCCATTCCGAGGGGGGGTAACCGTTGTCGCCCAGTAGATAGTCGTTCATTCGCACACCGAAAGGCAGCATGACAGGTGGCCCAGTGAAAAGTTCCCCTGCCTCCGCACGCGCCCACAAACTGGACAGGTGGACGATCCTCACGTCGTGGCAGCTCCCCAGGTATCCGACGAACACATCCAGCACGCGCAAGTTCAGATCGACGACCACCTGAGCCTGGACGGAGAAACGACGTTTTCTGTCGTAGTAGTCCTCTCCGGGGCAATTGGCTGGCTTGTCGATGAAGATGTGGGTACAATCGATGCAGCCATGGCAGTTGGGGAAACCCTTGTCAGCGAAAGCGCACAAGACGACCGCCTTTTGCAGCCCCGTTGGCCACGATTTCTTGTCGCGGTACGCACTCAGCAACGCCGAAGTAACATCCCGCACAGCCACCAACCCAGACTTTCTTCCAATGCCGAAGCTGCATGTCCCGCTCTCGTACGTCTCCCCCGACGCCCATCTGTACAAAGCGAACGCTACGATGAGGTCAGTCTGGAGGGGATCCCTATAGAACATGACACGCCATTGAAGGAAGGGAGACAGAGTTTCCGCTATCTCCCGGAACACCCGTGGCGACATGCGCAGCTTGTCCTTGAAGTAGTCTTTCGTCGCGTCGTCGCATTGCCGCAGATCCTCCCACACCCCCCCTGTTCGACGCTTCATCCACCACCTGGGCGTCGCTCTGGGAAACGCTCCACACCCCATGGCATAGCACACCTGAAGGACAGCGTCGCAAATGGCACCACTGCCCTCTTCGTCCACATGAATGGACTGCAGCGTCTTCTTCCGGCGTGCGCGAATGGCTGCTCTCATCCTCCCCTCGGTCCTCTGCAATTGACACCTGATGAGTATCATGTTCACGGCCGCTGCCACAGCCGCCCTCTCCGCCTTGCTGACTGTGTCATTAACCGCGTCCCCATCCACGTCCATCGCTCGTCCTCGCCAAGTGAAGAAGGCTCGACTTCGGTGGGAACAACAGCGATGGCGCGTCGTGAAAACCCGACTGTACGGCATGCACGTCGACAGCGAAGGTGCACGTAGCGAAGCACACAACGTTGGCGATCGTGTGACAGCAGCCGTGCTGCTTCGGACGTATTCATGGACGTTCGGCGTGCCAGCAGAAGCCACACAGCCGCCACCCCGTACCGAAACGGTCCCGCCGACGAACGTTGCTGCCGTCAGCCGTAAGGGACACCCGCGCCGCCGTCATTTGCTTACTGGGATTCGAATTTCGAAATTCGAATCCGGGACTGTGCGCCGTTTTTGTAGCCTTTTTTTTTTCGCCGCGTAAATTCGAATTTGCGCCGCCCACAGCTCCTGGACCAAGGGCGACGCCACGGACACAACCCGCTGGACCAACCTCGCCACCCCCCCTGCGTCCGCGTGTCGAAATATGCAACTGGCCGCGGGAGCACCCGAGGAATCGTCCTCGGGGAACATTTCCGAGGATGAGTGGAACGAAGGCGGGAATTTCCTCGGGCGACTCCAAGGAATCGTCCTCGGGCCCCGAGGATGTCCCCAGGAGTGTGGAACGAGCCCCAGTGAACCACCAAGCGAGACAGCTCCTTGTACAGCGCAAAGCGATCAATCTGGTAATGCTGCTGGGAAGTGTCCTCCAGTTCTGCACTCCCAAGAGATGGGTTCCGCAGCTGAGTTCTTGAAAGACCATGAACTGAGGAAGAGACGTGCCCTGCCGTCTGGCCCCGTATTGGACTTTGAAAAGTCCTTTGAACCAGCAGCGTAAACATGGTCTTCTCTTTTCCTTGAGGCGAGGCCTCATTTAGCCCCCCATGGAAAACGCTGTCCTTCTTGATATGCGCACGCCAGAAGACAACCTTCCTCCTACAAGTCCAGAAAAGTGGCTAAAACCATTTTGTCGATTTCACATTGGGCCAAAATTGTATTTAAAACCCATGGTGCAGGATGTATTGAGATAGAGGTCCAACATGAGACAGTCTTAAGGCATATTCACATTTGTAGTTTCTGGACACAATATGGCCGCCTTTGCCGTCACATTCATCCCAGATCGAGCTCGTGCAAACATGCCATTTAGAAATCTACTTCTTCATTTGTTGTGTTATTTGAAATCATGCCTGTCTTTTTGCTTCAGAAATTAATTCTTTTTTTTTTCTTTTTTTTGGCTTTCGGAAGATGCAGTCCCTAAATATCGGTGTCAAACAGGAATCGACATCATGACCCAAACGTCGCAACGTCTCGACCTGCACCATTAAACCACCACTCCATCCGGACCTACGTTGAAAAACCAAAAGTCGTATTTCCCCGAGCCTAAAATCTACAGTGCCACCGTGAGGAAGAATAATTGTGGTCCCCTTTCCCACCGGACCTCTACCGGGCCTGGGCACTGAAGATTTTGGCCCGGTACTTGTAGACAAGAAAAATGAGCAATGCAGGGGTGATCTAAGCCACACCGGTACCATTCTTTCATTCTTTCATTCTTTCATGGTTCCGGTGCATACATACAACACAATCAAACCACCAGAACTTTTGACTGTTCCATTACCAACCCTGGAAACACTCTGTGCACCAAAAGAAAGCAGCGCCACTTTCTTTTCTTTTCTTTTCTTTTCTTTTCTTTTCTTTTTTTTTTTTTTCTTTTTTTTTAATCAAATATCGACAACGGGGTGTAGAGGGAGTGCTGATAAGACCAGACACTCTCTCTACACTCCTGTACTTGGATGGCTCCGTTCCATTGGTGGGGAGCTGCACCTGCTGGAAACCGGTCCAGCGTCCCTTGACATACATCATAACCGGAGCCTGGAAAAAAATGAGTTACTTGAGTTGTATGGAGAACACGTAGTTATGTCATATGTTAGCGGATCTTGTGTCTTCGTGGCTGGTGTACCTTTTGACAGGGAGGTACACGCAATGATCCTGATTCGCAACTGTTAGTGCAGCCAGCCATTTCTCTCTGGTGACCCCTCGACTCTTACGGCCTGCATCGTAGAAAATGGTTGTGCCAAGTTCTGGTGGTTTAAAACAGGTACACAAAAATAAGCGACCAAGTTTGGGGTCTAGTCAACTACCCTGTTCACCCCCATAGAATAACGTCCGGTTGTTATGGCTGCCTATAGACTGAAAGTTGCCCCAAATACAGCTCTAATAACCGGCCATGCTATCCGGGTCAGACCTGTCACAGACACCTCTCGGCGAGCGGGAGACGGAGTAAATGGTGAGATAGAATTCGTACGTTATATTTTCTCTGAGTCAACACCCGGTTGTTATGGCTGCATATAGACTGAAAGTTGCCCCAAATACAGCTCTAATGACCGGGCATGCTATCCGGGTCAGTGCTGTCACAGGTACCTCTCGGCGAGCGGGAGAAGAAGTAAATGGCGCGATCGAATTCGCACATTATATTTTCTCTGAGTCAGCACCCTCTCTCAGACACTGGCACGACAGCAACGGCCTCTCTCCACTGCACAACTTTCCAAATGGATCTGGACGTCGGGGAGGCAGCCATTTCAGTCCGACTATATTTGGTCAAATGACAGTCCAGATAAATATGAAATATGCAATGTTGAGCAGTGCAGCGAGGCCCCAATACCCACACGGTGTTTGCAGTCCCGTTCATAGCAACACGAATATTGAGCAGTGTTTTTCCATTGTCACCTTGGATTACAAGATCGATCCGAAATTCGTCGTTTGGAAAATGATTACCTAGACAGGAAAAAGTGCATAAACAACCCGCTCTGTTTGGAAAGCGCAAAGCAAAGCCCGGTCAGAATGCACCTACCTAGATGTGGCCATCTCCGGTGCTGGGGCTGCACTTGACCATCCAGTTGCCAAATATACAATCTCTCTCTCTCTCTCTCTCTCTCTCTCTCTCTCTCTCTCTCTCTCTCTCTCTCTCTCTCTCTCTCTCTCTCTCTCTCTCTCTCTCTACCCGCACAATTTTTTTGCTTTCTTCCTTCTCCATTGCCTCCCTTCCGGCAGTTCGATCTCATCTTATGACTTGTGCCCTCCATCCCCCCTCCTGATCTTCCCCCCCAGAAATCCGCTTTCCCACATCTGCTTCTCTCCTTGTCCTGTGTCTGTCACCTCTCTCCTCCCGTCTTTCTCCACGCCTTTTTCTCCTCAGTTAGGATCGCTCTTCGAGCTCTTGCGCCTCCAATACTCGATGTGGCCTCTGTGGATCTGGTATGTTTTTTCCTCTTTTCCTGTGTCCGTTGATCTTTCTCGATTCGTTGCTCTCTCTCCATCACCTACATATCGACAAACCGTATCCCTTCTCTGATTGAGGCCCTTCGTCATCATCCTCTTCTCTCCTTTCCTTACCTGCTCCCTCCCCTCCGCTCCGAGATCCTCTTCCTGCCTTGCAATCTCTTCTTCGTCACCTTGTGCGGATCCCCCTACACGACCTGCAGTCCGTACCCTGTTGCCTTGGCCTTCTTTCCCCTGCACTTCATAAGCTCCTCTACATCCTCACCCTGATTGGCTGGCATTACGACCTCCTCCTCGCGATCCCACATCCTAATTGGCCCCCTTCCATCTTCACCCTGATTGGCTTCCATTACGACCTCCTCCTCCTCTCGATCCCAGATCCTGATTAGCCCCCTCCCAATCCGTGCTGCCCATCCCCTTCTCCGCAAATTAGGTCCCCGACCCACATCCTCCTCCCATTTACTTTAGGACCCTGCAGATAAAGAACCAAAACTACTCAGTGCATTCCATCCGACATAAGCGTCTGGATAATCGGCAATGCGGCGTAGCATGCCTGCAAGACCTACCCAAGCAATACTTTTCTCAGCCTTTTCGCTAAGATCAAGCGTAGTATCTGTTCTGATCAGTTTAATATATGATCCCTGCTCCATAAAAAAAAAAAAAAAACACAAAAAGGAAAAAAAGACCTACTCATTGTACTCAAGTGCATACTCGCCGATCTAGTCCGCTGGTCCTTGCAAGCATAATAAACGGGGTATTTCTCTCCCTCCTTTCCACTCCTCTAAACCGCTGTCAGTCGTGCATTAGACTCTACATACGTGTGGCTTTTCTGCACTGCATATACGCCTGTGGTGAGACAGTTTTGCTAACGTGATCCCTAAGATCATGGTATCCATTTTATCCCGCTAGGATTCGAACTCATGACCTGTTTATCAACGATTACAAGTGCACACCGTTCATCTGCTCGTCTGCGTACTGCTGCTGCGTTATTCCTGCACTCGACTTCTTCCCATGAACACCAGGCTGTGCCTCACTGCATACACCTACTACGGCTGTGACAAACGAGGGTTTGTTTGTCCTTTAATGAGAGGGTTTTACTGACAGGTCAACAGAAAGATTGACACATACCAGCAAGGAGCCAGAGACGGAAATATGAGGCAGGATACGAGGCAGGAGGAAAGGAAAGCAGTCTTTCTTTTTCAATGCTTTTTTTTTACTTTTTTTATCATCAGAAAGACTGAGCCATCCTTCCGGACATCTGCTAAAATTGGAATGATACAGAGAAGACTAGCATGGCCCCTGCACAAGGATGACACACACATAAATCGAGAAATGATCCCCCCCCAAAAAAACCGAAAAAAAAGAAAGAAAAAGTCTGAAAAACTGACTCGTACCAGCCGGGACCCAGAGACAGAAATATGATGCAGGATACGAGACGTTGGGAAAGGAGACCAGTGTTTCTTTTTCAATGCTTTTTTGAAAGTTTTTTTCACTTTTTTTTATCATCAGCAAGACTGACTCGTCCTTCGGGACATCAGCTAAAATTGGAATGGTACAGAGCAAGACTGGCATGGCCCCTGCACAAGGATGACACGCATAAATCAAGAAATGATCCAAATGGAAAAAAAAAAAAAAAAAAAAAAAAAGACTGACTTGTACCAACAGGGAGCCAGAGACGAAAATATGATGCAGGATACGAGGCGGGGGAAAGGAATGCAGTCTTTCTTTAACAATGCTTCTTTTTACTTTCTTTTTTTTGGCTTCCTTTGATATGCATATGATCGAAAGCTGTTTAAAACTAGAACAACACACAGAGGATTAGAGCATGGTCCCTGCGCAAAGACGAGACACACGAATCCGAGAAATGGTCCAAGTTCTGTTGGTCGTCCTTTCTGCAGGAGAACAAACTACAGAATAACTTCGTGGTACGCAATCGTTTGACGTAGCCAATCACAAATGAACCAATGCCGAAATCTCTCTCTCTCTCTCTCTCTCTCTCTCTCTCTCTCTCTCTCTCTCTCTCTCTCTCTCTCTCTCTCTCTCTCTCTCTCTCCCACCCCCCCACCACCCCTGCATCCCACAGCACTGATCTACAGGCAGGCCAGTGGAAGCGCTACAGCACCGTTGTGCGCCTTCCCGGTCTCCAGAAACTCCACTCAACCCATAAATAACAACACTAGTAATAATAACCATAACGCAAAGCAAGATTTCTCAACGCCAAACTAGCCCACCTCCCCTTTTATTCCCTTTCAGACTCGTCCGTCAGTCGATCACGAGCCCACCACCAGTCGGCAGGCAGCAGGTACCCCGAAAAGAGCTCAAAGGAACTAGATAGCAGCATGAGGGATGGAGAAAGGAGCCATTACCCCTATCCCCCCCCTCCCCCCTCCCCCCTCGCCAAACGACCACCAATACGCTTGTTTGACGAAGATCCCTTTCCACCCTCTTCCTCCTTCTACCCCTTCCCCCCCCCGCCCCCTCTTCTCTCATGCCAATGAGTCCATGGCAAAACTCCCTTCTGCTCTCTTAACCAGAGGCCAGGGTTTCACAGTCGGAGCAGCGGCAGAATTTACAAATGTTCTTTATTGCGGCCGCAGATTAACGTACGGCTGCGGTGTGACCTACCTTTCAAAATAACCCTGAAATAAAGTGATGTGAAAACCAAACCGCCCTCGCCTTCGCTTGCTATGATGCCTCTTGTCAACCCAGACGCTGAAAAACTTATTTTCCAAGAAGGTGAGAGGAAAGGAGGATCAGGAAAATGAAAAGGGGAATAACTCCCCCCATCTCATCTTTCAGCTAGCTCCGGACGGCCGACCACTTGTCCGTCCATTGAACAGGTCCCCCTCGATCCCTCCCCATCATGCCCAACCATCTCCCATAACCACCATCACCACCACCACTGAAAAGCTTGTCAAGAATTTTACAAGGAGGAGCTCAAGCAAAATTGCCACGCGAATCACACACGCCCCTTCGCATTCTACATAAGTTGTCTACGCAGACACCCCCCACCCCCACTATGTATGTACTTTATGTGCCCTTTATTTGCCTGCTACACCTCCGGATCAGTGCAAGTGAATCCATCCCACTCCTCCCACGGGATATAGAAAGGGTGGTCGCCAGCGAAAACCTCCTCAAGATTGTGACACTTGTCGAGGGACCCACACCTCAACGCCTCCAAGTCCTTAGCGGGGCCACGGGGGGAGCAGGGAGGCTGTAATCTGTCCGCCAAAGCACAACAGGATAATCGCATTGATACTCCTCTCCTCTCCTCTCCTCTCCTAATCTCTCCTACCCTCTCCTCTTCCTCCTTTCCTCTCATCTCCTGCCCTTTCCTCTTGCTTTCTTCTCAGAGGTGAACAAGTTGATGGAATGCTGGAGAGAACACATTACCGACTGGAAGCTTTGTGGGGACCACATGAAACAAACACATTATCGGCTGGACACTGGACGTTGAACACATGGAACGAACACATGACCAAATATGGAATATGTGCACGAACCACAAGGTCCCAAGCGTGTCCTACCCGACTACACCACTCCCGTGAGCAGATCTCTCCTCCTCCTCCTCCTCTCTTTCCTCCTCTCTCCTGTAGTGCCACACTCCATTGCAGTTTATAACCTACTAATGCATGGAGAGATTACTAACAACCTGCAAATCGTGGCAGCAAGGACCAATCGGTCCCACACGGGTCCGAACCCTCCAACTTCCGCAATGTGGGCGTCTTTTGATCTATATCTTGCCCCCTGCACTTATACCTCCCCTCAAGCTCTTGTCCGAAGATAACATTAGCATAATATGCTAAGAATGGAATGATGGAAGAGCGAACGCAGTACTGCACGTGAAACCTGGGAGCGCACAATCTCGTCCCAGATTTGGCCGACCGACCCCACTCAGCCATTGATTGAGCAAAGAAATGCAATGCAATGCAATGCAGGGGAAGCCAAGTCAACACCTAAACAGTAAAAAAAGCTGGAAAAAAAAAAATCAGCGGACGCGCAGACCTCTTCTACTCTCCTGTCATCCGGTTCATCTACCAAACCGGCCGCCTGTGAGCAGAAACCCTTTTCAGCGGACAACAACAAAAGATAAAAAGCCAAGCGCGTGGGGAGAGAGAGAGAGAGAGAGAGAGAAAGAGAGAGAGAGAGAGAGAGAGAGAGAGAGAGAGAGAGAGAGAGAGAGAGAGAGCTGAGGGAGCAAAGAGGGAAGGAGCGAGGGAAAGAACGTGACAGCAAGATGATGACGGTAAGTAATTATGCAACAGCGAATTGGGGTTGCTCAACGTAAGTTCGTTGTTGAGCCAGGAGATGGATATCTCTCACAATCTCGAACACAGCCTTAGGTCTGGCCATCTTCAAGCAATTCTGTGCCATCGATTTGAATTCGTCGATCCGCGGACCGAACCATTCCCTCACTGTCTTCCCGATTTCTCTTGGGTCCTTGATGAATTTCCCGGCCCCGTTGTCCACCACGAAGGGAATGTTCCCCGCCTCCTGCCCAGCTATAAAATCGTTAAGTATCATCGGTAGTCCCCTAATTAGGGACTCGGCAATGGTGCCAGGTCCAGCCTTGGTGATTATGCAATCGCAGGCGCCCATCCAATCAGACATGTTGGTGACGAATCCCTTCACCTGGACGGGAATCGGCCAATGAACGGACTCGAGAGATGTGGCGAGACTGCGGTTCCTTCCACAAACGATAATTAGCTGACCCCGCGGGCGGCCGTTCTCCTCGAGCGCAGCGAGCTCCTGCGCCAGCGCCCGCGCAGTCGCTTCCACTGGTCCCATTCCCTCCCCCCCGCCCACCAGAAGGACTGCTTTTAGATCCAGGTCCATTCCGAGTTCCTGCCTCAGGATGTTCTTTGGCTTGACAGCCATTGCGAAGTCTGGGCGAATGGGCAGCCCGTGCACCCGGATCTGCGACGGATTCAATCCCGCTTTCAACGCACGATCACTAACCTCCTGATTGGGCGCAAAACACAAGGTGACATGCTTGTGGAACCAGGTCGGATGACAGCTGTTCAAATCAGTGATGACAGTGGTGAAAGGAATGCGGCCGAGCAGGCCCCTCGAGCGTAGGATTCGCAGAGGCACGTGCTGCATCAACGGGTGCACGCTGACAATGACGTCTGGCTGGTACTTGGTGAAAGCCTTGGCCATCTCGCGCGCAATAAAGGTGCCGGTCGTCGTGAAGTTAAATTCGTGCACTAGACGGGGGGCAGAGGCGTGGAAGGCGAACTTCCACAGGTACTCATTCTTCACCAGGAAGCTGTAACTCTTGGGGAGCTGATTGAAAGGCCAAGGCGTGTGATCTTTCCACAGGTCAATGACGAACACCTTGTACATGTCGCCGTACTCGAGCTCGAAGACGGATTTCAAAGCCTCAGCGCTTGCGCGGTGCCCGCCGCCCGTGTCGCTCATCAGAATAAGAACTCGCTTCTGTCGGCGATTTGCGCCGCACATTCCGGTGCCATCATCTCCTCCTCCCCCTCCCCCCCCACCACCTCCTCCATTTGTCGGCTCCAAGCTCGGGGAATGGTTCCCCCCCAGAGCACTCAGCGAGGAACATGCCAATGGAGGGACGGCGGAGTTGCGCCGCAGCACCGCCGTCATCAGGTCGGCAATGGACGGCGGTACTGCCCCCCCCTCTCCTCCAACCCCTGCCAAGTTCAATCGGCCCACGACCGCAGCGATAGGTGCCGTGCTGCTCCATGCCTGCTGTTGTCGACATTGCTGCTTCTTCTGCCTCCTTGATGAGTCCGTTTTATTATGATGCTTCGAGGCAAGACGGACGACAGCACTGATCCCCGGTGAAAGCCCCACGCAAGGCCGACTGCCTCCTCCTTCTACGACTCCTACTCCTCTTTCGGATGCTGCGGGAATGTCGTTGAGGCTGCTGGGGGTTGTTGACGATCCCGCAGCAGCGGCTGTTGCCGCCAAAATTGCGGCATGTCTGGAAGCGGGGCGAAATGACGATGGTGCGCGCACCGAAACCTGGAAATGAGTTTGAGATTCTCCCGTGCAAATTCCGTCGTTAGCTGAAAATGCCACATCACTGTCCACTGCGCGCGATGACGGGGTTGCATGAAATGGCGCGGAGGAGGTTACGGAGTGCAAGAGCGGGGCTTTGCGTGAGAAGGAGAGAGACAGAGCGGCCACGTGCTCATGAGGCGGCCGCCAGCTTGCCACCTGCAGCTGCTGCTGCCGATTGGCATATCCCGACGTCGCCATTTTGGCCCACGCTTTCCAATTTTTTGTCCTAACCAATGCACCACCTTAACCACACTTACAGAAAAGATACAGTTCCGCCCAGCAACCGCTGCACCTTACCGCGCTGCACAGCGACCCCTCGCCCATTCAACACAAGAACAAACCCCTTTCTCCCGACCATCTGCCCAAAAAGGAAGGTGTGGATGCCGCACACCGACGGACCGATGGGCACCCAAACCTCTAAGCTCTCCCCTGACCGCTCAGCCAACCAGTCCTCTTGTCGTGACACCAACAGGACCCTTCCCCCGTACCTCTGGACTCCCCTTAAACCCCTCTTGCCAGGCAACGACCTACCCAAAACGGCAAGCCGCACAAAGCGACAAAAAGCAACCGGGCGCATCGAGTACAACATACCACGCCGCTTTCCTGATTGACACACGCCATATTGATCCGCGATTCAAACCTGACAGCTGGCGGCTTGTCTGGATAGTCCTTGTCGCAATTGAGCTTCACAGCGTAAATGCAACCGTCGTGAACTGTCTGCAAAACCATTGCAAATAGTCAGTGACCGAACGAGGGCCATAAGAGTGCACTCACTCACGTACGTATATATGCAAGCCACCACAATACCAAAGCAAAGTGGATGAACATCACCCTCACAATGCAGTAAATCAAACAAAAACCCACGAGAGAGAAAAGAGCAACGAGATAGAGGAGAAGAGGAAGAACATAAGAAAGAGCAGAGGGGAAAGAGACAGAGAGAGAGGAGCGGAGAGAAAGAGGGAAAGAGGGAGGGGGAGGGCACGACGAAGCAAGAAAGAGGGGAAAAAGGGAGAGGGGGAAACAGAGGGGGAGAGAGGGGGAGACGGGAACATGAAGACTGGGAAAGAGAAGCAGTGAGAAAAGGGGAAGGGAGAGCGGCAGAGAGAGAGAGAGAGCAGAGTTAAGAACCGCATGAAAGAAACGTGATGCACAGACGCCAACAGACAAGCTTCTTCTCGTCCTCCATTCCTTCGACTGCGCTCCTCCATCCTCTCCTCCCTCTCCCCTTATTCCCAACCCCTCACAACTACTCACCACCACCATCACCTCTCCCTAGCCAAGCTGTAAACAGTCCTTTCGCGGATTGTCCCAAGGAAAACTGGACAAAAAAGCAGCAGAAAAGCAGGAGACCCTAACCCCCACGTCACTCGCTGCGTTCCAACCCCCCTGCGGAATCGCCACCACAATACCCTTCCTTCCACTTTTCCTCTCTTCTTCCCACCAGACAACCAACCCCTTCAAAACTACACCCTCACTAAGCGATCCCCACCGCTGCCGCTTCCATCATCCATCTGCCTTGCCCCCATGATTGCAGCCTACACGCCCCCGCCAATCATGTCTCCGTTCCCACCCCACCCCACCGCACCCCACCCCACCCCACCTGACCCCTCCCCCCTGCCCACGCCTTCTCTCAACCCCTCCACCAGTCAACCACAGCTACTTCTTCACTCGGCCCCCGACCCCTCCCTCTTTTTCACCGATACTTCGCAGTTGCTTCTTCCATCAGGCCACCCATTTTGTCACATCCTCACACGCACAGGTGGCTGCCATAAGCACCATGCAATGTACAGTACAGTAGTGATTGGAAAAAGACACGGATATATATATTTCGTGGAGAACGGGAGAACAGCTCGGAGGAAAGAGGGGCAACAGACCAGGAAGAGCAAAACGCCACGTACATTACTTGGACCGATGATGGTCCCCGTCTCGGATCACATGAAGACGTCATCGCCGCATCGCCGTCGTCCATTCCATAGCTCACATTGCCATCATCAAACCCTTTCTCGCCTCTCTCCACCTCTCTCCACCTCCTCAAGGAGCCGGAAGTTGCGAGGAACTGATACCCACAAAACGACAAAAACACCATCAATCGTCAATACCGATGACTTCCCTCCTCCTCACTCCTCTCTTCCCCCCCCCCCCCCCCCTCCCCCCCCCCCCCCCCCCCCCCCCCCCCCCCGGGCCCCAAGTCTCACTTCCTCCCGCACTCTTTTGACTCTTCCCAACCCAACTGATCTTGTCACCCCAAATTTGATAATCAACACAAAAAAATCGTTATCAGATTCGCTCTAAAAGTGATAACCAACACATCTTTTTCAGTTTCTTTTTTTTTTTTTGTGTCATCCTTGCGCAGGGGCCATGCTAATCTTCTCTGTATCTTTCCAATTTTAACGGATGTCCCGAAGGACTCTTCTTTTTCAATTTCACACCAAGCACGGTGAAAAGAAATTTACAGTTCACCGCACCTGCTATACACCCCCGAACAGAACCTCCCCTTACCGACATAAGGAAACTTTTCCTCCTGTTTTGTTATGTTTGGCTGTTCCCTTCTTCTTTTCTTTGCCTCTTTGCCTTTTGGCTGTGTGCAAGTGGGTCGATATGACACACGGGGGTGGGGGCAGCAGCCGCCGCTCAACCTACATCCACGTGGAACAGGAGGAGTTGTAAGGAAGAAGATAAAAGAAACGAATTATTTTTTTCTTGTTTTCTTTCTGTTTTTTTTTTTTTTTCGCTTTTGCGTTCTGATATCCTTGTGTCTATTTTTTTACTTCTCGTGTTTGCGTTTTACGGGTTTCCCCCCCCCCCCCCCCAACTCCTTTGCTGTTTCAAGCACCAGTACACCACACATCTGCCCGCGGGTGTCCGCATGAAACCCGCACCACTTCCGAGGCCGCCGATTTTTTTTTCCAACGGCCCCCCACGCCGCGCGGCCCCTCCGAGTTTTGCTTGAGGCGACAAAAACTTTCTCCACCGCTGGGGCCGTGTACTTGCGGCGGTTCGAACTCTCCCTTCTTCCCTCTCGCTCTCCCAACCCTATAAATCCCCGCCCGCCGTTATCTTGAATGCTTTCCAAAAAATCCATCATCATTCAAGGGCCTGGCCCCCCCAACGATGACACAAATACGATCGGCTGCAACACCGCCGTTTTCTTGGTTACTTTCTTAACAGGCAGATTACCATTAAAAAAATAGATAACTTTTCAATCCCTTGTAATTTTTGTGAAAATTCACCGGCCTTGTTTGTTTGTTTTTTTTGGAAGGCTCCGAAAGTTTTTTTTTTTTTTTTTTTTTTTTGGAAGAAGTACACCTTTCATTGCCAATAGAAAGTCGAGGCCGGGAAAGGTTTTTTTTTTTTTTTTTGAGTAATTTTTTTGTTTTTGTTTTTTAGTAAGATTTTTTTTGGTTGGCAAACATTTTTCAACATTTGTCGACAAGTTTTAACATTAGCTACGCACATTTCAAATTCGTAAGGTTTTTTTTTTTCCCCATCAAATCAAAAGCAATTGCGGATAACGGGAATCGAGCCCATATCACCTGCCTGTTTGGAAGGCAGACAATTTACCTTTAACCTATATATCCGCTTTTATCAAACAGTTATTTTTCTCCTTAAATATTTCTGTGATGACACTTTGTTTTTTTTAACAGCATTATTATCAAACACCTTGTTCTTCCCCCCCCCGAACGCCGTCGAAGTGTGTTATAGTCTGTCTGCGGTGTTTACCATTTCCACCCTGTACAACGATCAGTGTCTATTCCATAGAGAGGAGCTTTCGATGATTAAACACCTTGATCTATCAAAGCCAAAGCTACCAACGATAACGAGAACAGTTACGAACGATTTGATTTTTAGCTCCCTCCCCCTGTGGTCACCCTACCCGTTTTCACGACAGGGCAGTGATACTAAAGACACCTTCAGATTCGGCATTTACGTTCTATTAAGTGGCAACTCCACACCATTTTATTTTTTCTTTAATTACTGATCAGATAACAGATATACTACACTTGATGGCCAAGAAAAGGCATTAATCCACACAATATATTTATTGTAGCGCCTCTGAAGTTCTACTACTGCAGCGCACCCAAGAGCCTACAGTAGCTCAGTGGGTACACACCCTCATGAACTGTTGAAATACAGACCCCTGTTCAAATCCAGATGATGGAACTTGACGAGTAAAACCAAATACTTAAGAGGAATTGCCTGGGGCCGGCCAGCTCAATATTGATATCTCAAGGCAGTCAAAAAAAAAAAAAAAAAAAATGTTAAAAAAAAAAAAAAAAAGAGGTCCTACTCTGATCTCAACGCGAACCACAGTACAACATGAACGCCCTGGCTGTAATGGAATACTTTCGAGGAGGACCGCTCCGCAGTCCTGCCAGGAGAGACAGTGACCCCGTGTGTCCAGCCTCCGGCCTCTACAACAACCAGGGCTTAACATACTCCCTCATGATGTTCCACTACTCTCTCTCTCTCTCTCTCTATCTCTCTCTCTCTCATGATGTTCCATGCCTTCATGATGTTTTCAAAAAATAATAATTCAAAAAAGTCAACGCCCTGCACAAACTCCTGCGTCACAATCTGTAAGTCATGCTTTGAGCTTTGACTTCTTCCCCCAGAACCCCGCCCCCGGGCGGGGGGGAAGGGGAGGGGTTTGCACGCTGCACGCGTGGTGAGATCAAGTTTTCCTTTTTTTTTTTTCTTTTTTTTTTTGAGTTTGTATTTCAGTGACTGCATAACAAAGCAAAGCAAAGCAAATCTGTCTTCTCGTGACAGAAAAATACTAACGTACGTACCACGCGAGAGAGCCAGCGATTATGGACCTCGCTCCACTACTCTCGAAATGTGCAAAATGAGAGTGAATCTTCCTCTAGAACATGGAAGTATACACCGCCATGATTTTTTTGTCTTTTGTGAATGTCGACATAGTGGAGCGAGGCCCCCTATGACCCGTACGTCCGCAAACGCTTTGCGTTCACCAGGAAAAGACAACTGTCTCCGCACACCGCTTCGGAAAGACTACAAAGCGTTTTTTTTTTGTTTTTTTTTTTAACGAAAAAAAAAAGGTGAGATTCATATAATAATATGAACATAGTTTCTGCAATATACCGAATCATTACAAAGAGTCGGGGAGAACTGTACTCACTCCCTTTTCTCATAGCAACCGCTCCACTACACTCGACGGTCGTGGAGCGACACCCCATGTTGGATCTTTTTCTTCCCACGGCTGTGGAATGTCAGTGCAGCGGCGCGGTTTTGGCCATTTCTATTATTGCTGGACTTCATCCCAGCGCCTGCACCGAAGCTGGGTAACGCTCCCAGTATTTTCCGGGCTGTTCGTGGATGGATTCCTGGACTGAGTCCCTTTTTTTTCGCAATATAATGAGTCCTCTCGTTGTTATTAAAAAAAAAAAAAAAAGGTACTCAGACCAGTATAGTCTCTTAAGTTAAAAAAAAAAAAAAAAAAAGTATAGCCTCTTAAGTCTTAACAATGATGACTGCAGTTGTATTACTGTAGTGATGTATACTTGCAATTCCAGCGATAATTGCTACTGACAATTGTGATTTCTTCTTCAATTTCAGTATATATATATATATTCGTCACAAACAGAACTGCCCGGTAAACCGTAGGCAGAGAGAGAGAAGAGGACAATAAACGAGGGGCTGTGGCAAACTATTTCGTCGGAGTTTCACCGACTCATCAGGAGGCTGAACCCTCAACAATCTGCAGAATCCCCATATATATATCGTCACAATATATCGTCACAAACAGAACTGCCCGGTAAAACCGTAGGCAGAGAGAGAGAAGAGGACAACAAACGAGGGGCTGTGACAAACTGTTATATATGTCGTCAAACAGAGCTGCCCGGTAAACCGGAGGCAGAGAGGGAGAAGAGGACAAGAAACGAGTGGCTGTGACAAACCGTGTCGTCGGAGTATATATGATTAGTAAAAGCTTAATATATTATTATGAATATCACACAATCATTGCAGGGGCGAAGGGGTGATCGAAATAGCATTCTGAAAGACTGTGGGTCTGACCGCACGGCACACGAAACGAAAACGAAACGAGTGCATCTGACCACGAAAGGTGGCAAAATACACTCGTTACTATTTATAGCAAACCGATGAACCTGGCCATTTTCTGCAGGAGGATGCACTCGTTTCGTTTTTCGTTTCGTGTCCCGTGCGGCGACGCCCTGTGTGTGTGTGTGTGTGAGTTGAAGGACACTACAGCCATGCAGGGGTGGGGTGGATATCACGACCGGCATGGATCCACTTGTGTACACCGTGCCATGGCTGTAGTGGTTAAGAGACTCGGCTCTTGAGGCTGAGGGCGCCGGTTGGAATCCGTGCGTGCACGGAGGAGGTCCTGTGGGTGAAAAAGAGCAAACTGTGACCACAATGAATATATACCTACCTCCAAAAGGAAAAAAAAAAAAGAAAAAAAAAAAAAAAAAAAAAAAAACAGGAAAAAAAAAAAAAAAAAAAAAAAAAAAAAAAAAAAGAGAAGGATCCTCGAAGATAGTCGTGTTCAGCGCACAATGCAATACTGATCACGAAACGGCGGCTATGGCGAAGACGACTATACAGGTACGACGTTTGTTTCGCACGTGAGACTACGCGCACCGGACCGAGCAGGGGGAGAGGAGGAAGAGAGAAGCAGCAAGAGAAGCGGCACACTGAATGACTGCGTGCGGCAAGAAAAAACTTACCCCTCCAAGAGGCAAGAACCGAAAGCAAAGCAAGAGAAAGAAGGATCAGCTAGACTGATCAGACAGCGGCGGCTATGGCCTATGGCGAAGACTGTAAGGGCTCAACATTTCCTGAACATGGGAGAATAATGTATATCGCAACAAGCAGGGAGTGAAAAGGACGAGAGATAGCAAAGAGAAGCAGCGAGAGACTCGATGAACACTTGCCCCCTCCAAGAGGCAAGCACAGAAAGCGAAGCCAGAGAAAGGCGAATCAGCGGATCAGCTAGACTGATCAGACAGCGGGGGCTATGGCGAGAGCGACTATAAAGGGCACAACATTTTCTTTTTTTTGCACAACATTTTCTGTACACGGGAGCAAGTATATCGCAACAAGCAGGGGGTGGAGAGGACGAGAAATAGCAAAGAGAAGCAGCGAGAGACGCGATGGATCATTATTTTTCTGGGCCACGGAGAAGCAGCGAGAGACTCGATTGAATTACTGTAAGTAATTTTTCGGGGCCACGGAGGGGTCAGACGGGTAGGCTTTTTGCTTACTCGACCCCTCCGGCGTTGCCTCTGTTGTATTGCACTGCTGCAGAGCGCGGCGCAGCCCTCTGGTTCAAAAAAGAAGAGGAAAAAAGGAAAAGAAAAAGAAAAAGAAAAAGAAACAACGAGGAGCATAAACGAAAAGAGACGGTCCTAACAACCCCAACAAACGACATCAGGCGACGAAACCATCAATCGAAAGGGAGGCGAACATGTGCTAACAGAGGAGCGCAAAGAGAGAGAAGCTGCGATTGCATTACCCGACAAGAGAATAAGATTCGCCACGAACAGTAAGCGGGAAAAATAGGCGGGAAAGGGCATGGAATAACAGCAAGAGCGGGGGGAAGCAACCGCAGTCAGGCTCTGCCGGAGTGCCCAGCCTAGCCCGATGGTTGGCGCCCTGATGTGACGGACGCCGGGCCCGGTTCCCGCCAATATAATACATAATACAAGTTGTTAAAAAAGCGCGGGAGATGGGAGAGGTCATGTGTTCGAGGGGGAAAAAGGCGGGAATTGAAAAAAAGGCGGGAAAGGGCATGGAATAACAGTAAGAGCGGGGAGGAAGCAACCGCAGTCAGGCTCGGCCGGAGTGCCCAGCCTAGCCCGGATGGTTGGCGCCCTGATGTGCCGGACGCCGGGCCCGGTTCCCGCCAATATAATACATACTAATACAAGTTGTTAAAAAAAGCGCTGGAGATGGGAGAGATCATGTGTTTCGAGGAATGTGAACTGCAACACCAAACGGAGAGGATGATGAGAGAGGGAGAAGAAGCAAACGTCATCGTTCGGACGGCGGGTAGAGGAGGACGGAGCACGATGAAGAGAAACGCAGCGCCAACATTCGTATTGGCGGGAAAAGCACATCAGAGCAGCGATTACTTGCGCGGGAAACAGCATGTATGTAATCACATCACATCCATCCAAAGAGAAGACGCATCGTGGAGAAGATGAAAACGAGGAGGTACTTGCTGCCTGACTGTACAAAGGCACAAAGTGGGAGGACGGCGGGAAGGGCGAAGAGAGAGAAACGACTAGACTACGAGAGTTCGGAAACCAAAAAAAAAAAAAAAAAAAAAAAAAAAAAAAAAAAAAAAAAAAAAAAAAAAAAAAAAAAAAAAAAAAAAAAAAAAAAACAGGAAAGAGAAACAAGAATACGAGACAAACAACTAACATAATGATCACTGAGAAACAGAGAGCAATATAAAACAGGGAGAGCAGTCAGCACGATTAACAACAGAAGACTACCGTCTTCACCCGACTAGAACGCCCGGTGATGATCGCTGCATCTGGATTGCAAGTTTGCCCAAATACAGGGATAATGTCCGGGCGTTCTATTCGGGTGAACACGGTAGAAGGAAGACTACCGGTTGCAAAACCGAGACCACACGGAGGCACGTAGACGAGATCAGGTAGAAGAGAGAGAGAGAGAGATCGAAACCTCGCCGGAGGTTTAGACGAAGATGGCAGTGGCAAGATGCCGATGCCCAACAGGAGAGAGCGGGAGAGTGAGGGAGGTTGGGAAAGGGGGAGGGGGGTACGGAAAGGGGGATAGGGGTGAAGGCGAGAGGGCGGTAGAACCTACCGACAACAGCGGAGTGCGACGAGCCCGCGATCGGTGATAGACTCTCAAGCTCCAATCGCGTTGCTGGCACGCATGGAATGGAGTAACACGTGGCCGGACACGTGGCCGGAGATGCTGAGCTGGCGTCAATGCTCGTGCTTCTTTTGCTTCTCGAACGCGAAAGGAGAGACAATACTTCTTTTCACCCGTTTTTTTGGACGACGAGACGACCAAGATTCCCACGTTGATTAAATCACACAATTACGAGCAGTTGGGTGGGCACGACGCAAGTGACATTCAGGAGGTCGTGGGTTCAATCCCCACTGGCCACCTGCGGCCCTCTTGGTGCCAACCAACTGAGGTGGTTGGCCTGCTCCCCCCGTTCGGTATTGGTAGAGTCTTTGGCCATCACGGGTGTGCGTGGGTGTGCGTGGGTGTGTGTGTGGGTTGTATGTGGTGTGTGGGAGAGTGCTGGCCATAGACACTGCTGTTACATCGATGGGGGCCGGGGGAAGTAGATGGGAGGAGCAGCCTCGGAAAAAAAACGACCTCCAGTTTTTTTTCCGAGGCTGAATTATGCCTGCCTGCCAAGGGCAGCCGAGCCTACAGGCGCGCGGCAACGTTTCGTGGGAGTGCCGGTCCTCCGTTGGTGGATATGGATATGGACGGTCGCCACGCTCTTTTGGAGTTTCGCGTGTCCGCCAATTGCAGGAGCGTCGGTGCTTCTACATCATCGGGGATAAGGTTATTGCACCCTTTGCGGACACACACACACACACACACACACACACACACACACACACACAGACAGACACGCGCACACAGAGTTCCTCGCTCCAGTGAACAACAACGCACATGCATTTCGACGCTCTGTGGACCCAATGCATTCAACTTGTTGGGATTATTCGAATGCATCTGGTCCAGATGTCGACTAAATGCATGTATAGTGTCGTGTGGTGCAGCCGGGGCCGACAAACCGACACACGCACACGCACGCACGGACGCACGCACGCGCACGCACACACACACACACACACACACACACACACACACACACACACACACACACACACACACACACACATTGACTGTGTCAGATTAGTTTCTCAGACTTACTGCCGTTCTTGTCAGGGGTTTCGACCGGCAATTTGATAGGTTTGCACGGTTTGTGTGATTGAAGTCGACCACTTTTCTCTCTCAGGGGTGGGTATCGCTAACTCTGGGCGATGTGGTGAGTCCTTATCCATCAATCAAATGCCTCCTGGGCAGACTGTCTGTCCAGGTTCAACCTCCTGGTGAGTCGGTGAAAGTCCGACGAAACAGTCTGGCACCGTCATGCTTTTTTTGAGTGTATAGCCAATACGACAACACACACACACACACACACACACACACACACACACACACACACTCATCACTCATTGGCGCACAAGCGCACGCGGAGGATTTGGGGGACGATTGGCGACGTTATTGTCGGCCTCTCACATTAAACTCCCCACCAATCCCCGCCTCCATTTTCAATTATCTTCGTTGTTAATAGTTGTCGGTGGAACAAGTTACCCCGCCATAGCCGTCGGGACATTTATTATCTATCGGAGAGCCGGTCGCTTGTACTTCTTTGTCGTTTTTTTAAAGACTTCAACTTCTGTTCGTTTGGTAGAGTGTTTGGCGTGCGCAAAAATGCTGATCAACCAACCGTGACTTCGTGCACCTCTTCACAACAACCACTACGACATTCGGCCGTGAAATGCAGTCCTGTTTTATAATACAGCACGCGTCGGATGTAAGGAATGCACGCGCACTGTTATCCCTTCATCGCGGCCCAAAAATCTCGTCTTCGGAACCCTCATGCGTTTCCAATATCTGCAACAACATCAGTTTACAATCCGAACCCACACGAAAAAAACAAACACAAAAATGCAAGCTTTTTTTTTTTTTTTTTTTTTTCATCAAATTGAAGATTTGGAGAATCATTCAGCTGGGAGTATTTGGACAGCGAGGACAGGTGACAATCACGCGCTCACACCCTCACCATTATGGATACTACAAAAATGCAAGCTAGACCTGGCCCGCTGCAAATTTCCGAGTAGCCAAGAAGAAGAAGAAGAAGAAAAAGAAGAAGAAGAAGAAGAAGAAGAAGAAGAAGAAGAAGAAAGAAGAAGTGGGGGAGGAGGGAGAGAAAGAGGAAGAAGAAGAAGATAAAGGAGATAAGAAGGTAAAGAAGACGAAGAAGAAGAAGAAATGGTGGAGAGCTGGCGAGGGCAGTGGCCGGTTGTCCACGTACAAGAGAGAATCACACTCACAACCGCGCGCAGATAGCTCACGGACCAAACTCGCAGAAGAAGGAGAAGAAGAAGCGAGAGAAAAAGAAGAAAGAGGAGAAGAAGAAACAGAAGAAGAAGATCAAGAAGAAGAAGAAGAAGAGGACAACCGACAATCAAGGGCGGGAACACGCACATGTAGAGGAAGAAAAACAAGGAGGATGACGATGACGACGAGGCAGAGGACGAGGGGGACAATAGAGGTAGAGGACGGAGACAATAGGGGTAGACGGAGGAGACGGAGGAGGAGACGGAGGAGACGGAGGAGACGGAGGAGGAGGAGGAGCAGGAGGCGGACGAGGAGGCGGAGGAGAGAGCGACGAAGGAGGAATAGAGAGAGAATCAGGACAAGGAGGGGGAGAAGGAGGAGAAAAAGGAACGCATACCTCGAGTCTGGTCGTTGATGTCGCCTGTGGAAGTCCATGTCAGGCGACATAGCCAGCTTGCACTCTCCAAATCGCTGTGCAGCTCTCTCTCTCTCTCTCTCTCTCTCTCTCTCTCTCTCTCTCTCTCTCTCTCTGACGCAGTACGTTCATCAACTGCAAAGGAGGGAGCGTCTGAAACCGTACACGCACGACATGTTCTGCTGGTGAGCGCAGGGTCGTACACACGTGTCAAGCTCGCACGGCGACACACGACCGCCGCACCCCACGACCCCGACAGCACCCGTTTCGAAAAGTATCCGAGGAGAAGGCCCGTGCACATGGCGCGCGAAAACGCGCGTCGCCACGCACACCGGGCCCAAGGTCCCATTAGCAACCGGATAGGATAGAAAGGGTGGCTGTGTGACGCCTCCGATACCGTCCATCATACGGAATCGTGTGGTTGCATGGCCTGGGAAGCGCGCGAGTTATTTTCCTCAGTTTAATATTCGCATCCATGTGTGCTGATTCCTGATTGGGTGGGACGGTTGCAAACGCGCGAATCTCTCTATCCGTTTGGGGTGTGGCCTATGCCACGGATACGGTGGGATCGGTCATACTCCATCACACTCCAAGGATAGGCAGCCGTGGACGTCTTCCACCTATATGTGCCTTCGGAGTTTCCGCTTTCTTCTCCGTTGTTCACTACACGACGACATACTGGCGGTGTTTTTTCTTCTTTTTTTTTTTCTTTTTTGGGCCGTGTTTTTTGCCCATCAAAATTCAATTCATTTCAAAAACATCACTTAGAGGGCGGGGACCTCTGGATAGATTCTGCGGGAAGCGTTATCCAGTTGGGATAACTTGCAAAATACCCCCATAAGGTGAGATATATGCCAAACTGCCCCTGAAAGATGTGGGTAGATCGGACTGCCCCTCTGACTACAAACAAAACTGGCGTCGATTGGTCCCCCCACATCTGCAATATACCCCTGCCGGGCACTGTCCGAGTTTTCAGAATACCCAATAGTTGTCCACTTTCCATGCGCCCCCTGCATTTTTGAAATGCCCCCGAGCGGTCTCCGCCATGTTTTCGTTTTGCCCCTCTTGCCATTGGAGGGGCAAATAGACCACCATTTCTTTCTCTCTCTCTCTCTCTCTCTCTCTCTCTCTCTCTCTCTCTCTCTCTCTCTCTCTCTCTCTCTCTCTCTCTCTCTCCAGCATGCTCACACGCATATGTTTCCTCTCTCTTCATCCGCATTACTATCCTTCTCGGTTTTCGTCTCATAATGTCACGCAGCTATATATCTGAAGAGCATATCAACATGTGAAAATGTGATACAGAGAGTGAGTGAGAGAGAGAGAGAGAGAGAGAGAGAGTAGCGAACATCTATGTGTGTGCGCACTCTTGTTTTATTTTTTGTGAGCGAGAGAGAGTTGTCGGCATGTGTGTATGTGGCATTCTGTGTGTGTGTATGTTATGTTTGTGTGTATATGTATTGTGTTTGTGTGCGTGTGTGTGTGCATTAGTGTGTGTTATGTTCGTGTGTGAGAGAGAGAAAGAGAGTCACCAGCATGTGCGTGTGTGTGAGAGAGAGAGAAAGAAAGTCGTCATCATGTGCGTGCGTGTGTATGTGTGAGAGGGAGAGAGAGTTGCCAACATGGTTATCTGTATGAGTACACACGTTTGTATATGTGACTCGGAGAACCAAATTGTCACGCCTATGACCTTGGGTATTCGCAAAGTTGCAGCTCGATAGGGAGGGTAAACAAGGTAAAAATTGGTATAGGCATAAACCTTGACGGTGACATCTATATCACAATTTTTTGCAGCGGCCTACTTAAGGCATAACAAAACAAATTCTGGTCAAAAAGGTTTACCCACATCTTTTAGGGGCATTTTGACATGAATCTTAACGTATATTACAAATGATTATTATCCCCTTTAGTTTACAGACCTTCATCTGCACGACTTTCCTTTTAGCCCTACGTAGCTCGATGACTGCTCTGGTTCTACGCTAATAATTATTTATATTTATGAAGTTAATCATGTATAAATGTTTCGTAATGTACAACAACCTAAGTCGGTCTTATGGACTCCGTCCAGAGGATCATTCTATCCTCATACAACTTTACCAAGTAATGAAAACAATATGTAATATGGTAATATGACCCCTATTGTGGTTTCTCAAAAACGTTTTTTTTTCCCCCACATACTTTTCTTATGCTGCCTTCCATTATTGAAGCGAGGATGAGCATTTAGGTCTTGACTAAGTGGTAAAAAGCCACTTTGTCAATTCAATCCTACCACTCTTAATTTATGTCAATTGTCTATTCTTAGTCCAAACACTATGAAACCACGTAATACGGTTCGTTTTTTTTTTTTTTCATACTTTGTCGCTCCAATATCCTTGATGGTCCTCACGATATTGTATTTACCTTTGACCTCGGGGTATGGTCCGATATGATATTCTTTGTGAAAACCACTTTGTTCCTCTTGTTCCATAGTGACAATTTGTGCCCACTAGATCGTATATTCTCGTTGTACCTTTTTTTTTTTTTTTAATAGGTTTTCCCTCGATATTATTCATTGTCATATCTACAATGATTACATAGAACCTCACTCTACTGCTTTCCACTATTTTTCACGTATACGAACGACAATATATTTTCATGTTGTATATTTTCATGCTCTGGTAGATTATGGGCTCGATCCAAAAACTCACAAAATGTGTTAAATGAAAATGAATCTGTTATTATGATGAAAAAAGTAGACCGCCATAATTCATGTTTTTTTTTGCATGTGGTGAGTAGTAGAGCAATTATACTTTCACTTTCATATTTATCACATGTAACATTGTCTCATGCGTCATATATAAAGGTAGACATTCATACATACATTCAATTTCATTTTTTTGTATACTTCAGTTATGTCAGAGTTGGATTAAAGGTTATAACATAGTTGCCTTGTTAGCTTTGAGAGATCACACTTGCGACAACACCTGCTAATCGGTGACTGTATTGATGTTTTTTTTTTTTAATGTTATTCTTCAGTCGTCGACAAAATCGAATTTTTTGTATAGCTTTATATTGAAATATTTGGAACGTAGTTTTTAAGTTTATAACACTTATTACGATACATTTTTTCAAGTGGTTTTGCGGATTATTAATTTTATTTTTGCATTTTCATGTTATGCAGTTAATGGTACACTTTTTTTTTGCGGGGGTTATAACATCTTATTATCTCTCTTTATGTTTTCCCATCGCCCCCTCTTTCCAACTTCCTCGTGTGAGTCAACTTCTCGCACTTACTATATCACGTTTTTGCCCTTTCAACACATTATCTTTCTTTCCTTTAGATTGAACATATTTTCATTCGTCGTTTCTCAATGGCAGGGATTGTGACGGTTTGTCGTGTGGGGGTGTTGTCATAAGTTAAGTGAACCTTGTGTAATGTTGCGTATGAAATGGTTATATGAAGTTTGTTTCGCTGCTTGTGATATCCAACATGACCATCGTACAACCGCCATATACGAATCACATCTCATAATCAGGGTTCAAACATATGTTTTGTGATATCATACACGTCGCATATCAATATAATAGGCATGATTTTCGTCATCAAATTAAGTGTCATGATGAAGTTCATGACTATGTTGAACTTAAAAACGAATGACGTGTAATGACTTCTTATGCTTTTTATGTTTATCAAACTTGAAAAAGTAAAATTTATCAACGTCGACAACAATTATTGCTGCCTTTCATAGATTTATTTTTCAACAAAATACAATTTTTGTCGTGGACCTTGTGTGATGCACTTATTTTATTTCTTAAACGATAGTCAATTTGTTCATATGCGTATATTTTTTTTGCAAACTTTGTTAAAATATAAATCAAGCACTGCCACATGTTTCATGCTATATTGTGTACCAATTTTTATTAAAGGATAACAAATTTGTTCATATGCGTATAATTTATTTGCAAACTCTGCCAAAAGTGTAAATCAAATATTGCCACGTGTTTAATACTATGTTGCTTATCAATCGAATTTGCATGTTTTTGTAAAACTTTTTTTTGTTCTATTTATACAAGTGGACCCGCCGAAACTACGTTGGAGCGAAGGTTGATGCCAAAAATATTTTGCAATATATCTCAGTCGTCAGTCGGATTTTTTTTTTTTTTTTTTTTTTTTTTTTTTTTTTTTTTTTTTTTCTCTCTCTCTCTGTGTTTTTTTTTTTTTTCTCATTCGTGATGCGGACGACTTTGATAGTTGTCTCGAGGATGAAAGTATGATTGCAAGATGAAGATGGTCCGATGTGGCGTTTGATATACTGGTGTCTCTTGAGGTTGTTTTGCCTTTGGTCGCATTGTCGACTAGCCGTAGGTTGTCATGTCTTGTAGTTCGCACATGGATGAAAGTTTCCATGATGACTCATCTGAGGTCTTGGAGGTCTTCAGAGGTGTGTCGATGATGATTGCACCTGCAAGTATGCAATAACACGACAGATGAGATCGATATGAAATGCGGGGAATGGAGGGAGGGGGAGGTATGCTTGTTGGTGGTGGAGATGCATGAGGTCATTGAGGTAATCCCAGCTGCGGGGAGGGTGAGGGATATTGTACATGGGGAAGGTGTGGCGGGAAGCAAGGAGGTTGTAGATGGTGGCAGTGGCGTGAACTGGGCCCCAAGGTTCGACCGGATGCCACCATTGTGGGTCGGCATCCAGTGTGCAAGGCTGGAGGTATGGTTGTGGGGGCGGTGGTGAAGATGTGACGAATGTGTGACAATGGTGTGCATCAGTGATGCGGCAACATTGATATTGAGGACGGTCCGGACGGGGGAATAGGAGGCGGGTGTAGTCGTCGTTAATGATTTGGAGTAGAAAGCTTTTAGCATGGTTAAATCTGACATTTATGTAAGGAGAGGGACGTGGGCGTGCCAGTGTGCGTGTGTGATATTTTTTGTATGACGAGAATAATGTGTAAATGTGAGGCAAATATGCAGCGTGGTCGATTGTGAGGAAGTCTTGCCAAAGGATTTGGTGGATGATTTCTTCAATGTTATCTTTGTTAAGGAGTAAAATCCATGTGTCCCATCTAGGAGGCGGTGAAGGGGGTGGAATGGAGATTTGTGCGAGGATGTCGTCGAGGTCAGTTTGTGAGAGCAATTATGTTTGCATTGTATCAGTGGTTGGAGTGTGGAGTGTGAGTGCAGTTGTGGTTGGTATGTTGATCGTGGCGTTTGTGGAGAGAATGGATGAATGTGTTACTGTGGTCGAT